TGGAGACATATCCCCTTACATTGGTAGTCAATGGAGACATGTCCTTTAACATTGGTAGTCAATGGAGGCATGTCTCCTTACATTGGTAGTCAATGGAAACATGTCCTTTAACATTTGTAGTCAATGGAGACATGTTCCTTAACATTGGTAGTCAATGGAGACATGTTCCTTAACATTGGTAGTCAATGGAGACATGTTCCTTAACATTGGTAGTCAATGGAGACATGTTCCTTAACATTGGTAGTCAATGGAGACATGTTCCTTAACATTGGTAGTCAATGGAGACATGTTCCTTAACATTGGTAGTCAATGGAGACATGCCCCCTTACATTGGTAATCAATGGAGGCATGCCCCCTTACATTGGTAATCAATGGAGGCATGCCCCCTTACATTGGTAATCAATGGAGGCATGCCCCCTTACATTAGTAGTCAATGGAGACATGTCTCCTTACATTGGTAGTCAATGGAGACATGTCCTTTAACATTGGTAGTCAATTGAGACATGTGCTTTAACATTGGTAGTCAATGGAGACAAGTTCCTTAACATTGATAGTCAATGAAGATATGCCCCCTGTAATGTTAGGGGAATCCAGCAGGATCGCAGGACACAGGCTTTGCAAATAAAGTAAAGTTTATTAACTTAAATAGCTTCACAGCAGCAAAATAACAAAACAGTTCATCTTCACTGACCAGCTGGCCAACTCAAACAGCAACTCTTCAGTACAACACAAAAGAACAGTCTCACCGGCATGAAGATTTCAGAGCTGCAATCGCAGTTTAAACAGTCCCAGACTTCAAGGGTAACTTTCCCAGTCTACAGATTTCCAGCAAGATTACTGACATTCAAGCTCACAGCAGTACACAGATCCCCACTCTCCAACCTCCTCCACACTACTCCTCACCTGCTAGCTACCACTTCCTGTCTTTTAAACACATTCTTCCTCCAGCAGGTGAGTTAACCCCATCCCATCCTTTAAAGGGACCACAGTCCAAACAGAGGGGAAATATAGCATCCTTCCAGGACCCAGCCCCGGTGTCCTGTACACCCCTTACATTGGTAGTCAATGGAGGCATGTCTCCTTACATTGGTAGTCAATGGAGACATGTCCCCTTACATTTGTAGTCAATGGAAACATGTCCTCTTACATTGGTAGTCAATGAAGACATGTCCTTTAACATTGGTAGTCAATGGAGACATGTCCCCTTATATTTGTAGTCAATAGAGACATGTCCTTTAACATTGGTAGTCAATAAAGACATGTCGCCTTGCATTGGTAGTCAATGAAGACATGTCCCCTTACATTGATAGTCAATGGAGGCATGTCAACTTACATTGTTAGTCAATGGAGACATGTTCTTTAACATTGGTAGTCAATGGAGACATGTCCCCTTACATTGGTAGTCAATGGAGGCATGTCCCCTTACATTTGTAGTCAATGGAGACATGTTCCTTAACATTGGTAGTCAATGAAGATATGTCCCCTTACATTGGTAGTCAATGGAGGCATGTCTCCTTACATTGGTAGTCAATGAAGACATGCCCCCTTACATTGATAGTCAATAAAGACATGTCCTTTAACATTGGTAGTCAATGAAGACATGTCCCCTTACATTGGTAGTCAATGGAGGCATGTCCCCTTACATTGGTAGTTAATGGAGACATGTCCCCTTACATTGGTAGTCAATGAAGGCATGTCCCCTTACATATGTAGTCAATGGAGACATGTTACTTAACATTGGTAGTCAATGAAGACATGCCCCCTTACATTGGTAGTCAGTGGAGACATGTCCCCTTACATTGGTAGTCAATGGAGATATGTTACCTTACATTGGTAGTCAATAGAAAAGAGTTCCTTTACATTAGTGGTCAGTGGAGAAAGGCACCCTTGTATTGTTGATCACTGGGAGAAGTGCTTCCTCTAATTGCTGGTCAATAGGAGAAACTCCCCCTTACATTGCTGGTCAGTTGGAACAATGCGTTGTTACATTGGTCATCATTGGAAATGATTTTCTGCTACATTAATCAACTGTGGGAAAAATGGCAATTTACGTTGATGGTCAATAGAAACAGAGCCCTAATGAATTACATTGGTACTGGAACTATGCAACCAACGCAAGGCAGAAAATCAATCGAAGGACTCCTACGATTTACAGAACCCTGGTTGAGAAAGGCCAATCTATATCATTCAGCTTCATTTAACAAATGAGCACAACACATTTCACAGTTCTGCATTCTTTCAAAGTGTACTTCCTTTGCAGCTCTCTGCATTCAGTCACATAGCATTTTAGATCCACAAAGGAAGACAATGCTCAAAGACTTCCCTCTGCTTGGTGCTATGATCACAGGTCTGACTCTGAACAGGGAGCAGATATCCAGGGCTGTGCCTCCCATGAGGCCAGTTGAGGTGGCACTCAGGGAGGCATTGTAGGGGGCAATAATGAGGCAAGAGTGTCCACGGGACACTCTGTCCTCAGGTAAAATTGCGGAAAAACACGTCACACAGGCAGACACAGGGTCTGAAACTACACAGTGACACTGAGCCTGATTTGAATGCAGGCCCAGCCTTACTGAACTTCTACCCATGCCTATGTCCGCATTTTTATCAGTCTCAGCATCTGTAAGGTTTCCACTGGAAGCTGTGGGAGCCACAGTGGGAGAAAAGGGGGCAGCAAAAACAGTCACCTCAGGTAGCAGTTAATCCTGGCATGCTCCTCCAGATATCTATATAATGTCCAGCAGCTGTCACAGACTGTAAGTCCTGCTCTCAATGAGGTTTGAATGGGGTAGTATCTCCACTTAGGGCCACCAAACTGTAAGGTATTGTTTGTAAAGGTTTGGGAGTCATATGCCATCTGCCTTTCTATCCCCAACTATCAAGAAGCCAGTTCAGAGCAATGATGTACGCCATGGAGCACATGCATGTAGACAGAAAGGAGGGTAACAACAAAGAGTGGCACAGACATACATTTTGCGCCACTCTTTTAAACTTACAGGGTTATTCATTAAAGGGTGAAGAGTTTGGAGAAGGCAGGAGAAGTGAACATTCTAGGCCAAAATAGCTGATTTGGAAAGTGAGCTGAATTGCAGAATCTTTCCAAATCAGCTAGTTTGTCCTAGATTGTCCACTTCTGCTGCCCTCTCCAAACTCTTCACCCTTTTGTGAATAACCCTGTAAGAAAACAGAGCAGATCCTCCTGTTAATTAGGACCGATCCGCTCCATTTTTACACTATAGAGAGCGAGAGAACTGGAGTTGCTTTATATTTCTATAGCACTTTTCTCCCTGGGGGCTCAAAGCACTTATCTGTTGTTGGGGCAGATGGTGAGGCAGCCATCTTAGGTGTGCCTAGTAAAATATCGTACTAGGGCCAGAGGAAGAGGACGCAGAGGAAAGCCACGTAGGGACAGGGAGAAGATGAAAACTCCATGCAGCTATGTCCTGGTCAGGAAAGGGGCATACCCTGCCTATATGAAGGCTCGGTTATTGGCAAACAGTTTACATCCCATAAGCCAGGTCCAATCTAGTGGGGATCTGCGGCAGCTTTCTAGATAATAATAATCCCTCAGTGATTTAGGCGTACTCTGAAATAGAAACTGGCCTGGGTGGCACAGATAGACCTGAAACACATCTATCTGCTTTTGTTAAAGGCTAGATGTACCTTTCTGATCATGTTTCATGTTACATCCATATTTAGGGTGTATCATAAAATATGGGCAGCCGGCATCTCTTTGGGTCACGTGGGGAAGTGGCAGCGTGCCTGCTGCCCCCTTCCCGACCAGAATGTCACCAGTTGCTAAGAGCTCTTAGTAACCTGGAATGCTCTGGCCAGCGTCTCACCCAGCTCCTGGCAATAAGCGACGTCGGTGAGCTGGATGGGACGCTGGCCGGAGCCTGAGGTAACATGTAGCACCTACACCCAGGGCTAGATTTCCATTTTGGGCGCCTATGGAAATCTGTTTAGCCTGAGCCAGCACCTTTACCAGCTGCGGGAGCCGCCACCTTTCACATATGCAGAGAAGGATCCCGGCATCACGTAAGGCTGTCCTAAATGCCTGTCCGCATCAGACAGCCGCTTTACGGGGCAGCCTTACGCAGTGCAGGGGTCCTTCCGGAAGCCAGCGGTTCCTGTAGGCGCCCGTGGTCTTGGAGCAGGAGGGTGCAATTTGTGCAGAATCCTTGCTATGGTCAAGATACAACACCGGGAATTAGGCAGAGTATGTACCTCTATGGTGGGCACCTGTAGGCAAGTACCTACTCTGCCTAATGGTAAATCTGACCCTGCCTACGCTCCTCTTCCCCTGTGCCATAGTTGCCTCACCAAGGGTGGCAAAAAGTCAAAGGACACTCCTGTCTTTACTGGCTCCTAAGCAAAAAAATAACAAATGCACATATTGTTTCTTTTATGAAGAGGTGTGCATTTATTATTTTTCTGCAAAAGGGGAAATTTCCCTTTATTATAATGGTCTTTACTTCCCCTCAAAGTGTGCAGGTGGGATCAGCAACACTGCGATTACAGGTGAAAAAGGGAGATGCATACCAATGCTTGTGACATACATCCAGTGAGGGTTTACATCTACTTATCAGCCCCTTCCTTCACCCACCTTCTGAAGGTGCTACAGCAAACTACGATCGCACATCTGGTGAAGCCGAATAGAAGGGTGGTGAAAGTAGGGCATCCTGCAGCTTCCTGTATATGGTGACACGACAGGTGCCTATGCTGTACAAAGAAGAGAGCTGGCTGATTGTCGTGTCGCTAGAGGGAGGTGTGCTGAAAAGGGAGGGGGGAGCTCGTACACATTCAGCACATCTAACCCATACAACATAACCCCGAGCTGTCCTTAGTAAGGCGCCAGGTACGGGCTCCAGCGACCCGATCTCTTGCACTACGTAGTCCATGACCGAGGAGGGCGACAGAGCCGCATTCACCAAGAGGACCTGTTGTGTGGAATCTGCTCATTTGCCCCAAGTTCCTGGGCACAGGCAGCTGCTGTGACACGGCTGATGATCGCCCCGGGCAAGTGATCAGAGAGGGCGGCCAGTGACCGTGCTGCGTACGGAGAGGTGGAGAGGAGGAGGCGAGGAGGAGGTGAAAGAGGAGGGCAGGCGAGGCATCTTCTCCAGCAGGAACAGCAGCAGGCTCGGTTTAGGATCTACCCTGCGCCCCCTGAGCTCGGGATTCCGTCGCCGCTGTCGCTTCTCTTGTCTGTCTGTGCGCTGCTGCGCGACCCCCAGTACTCCGAACCTGCACCACCCGAGGAGAAAAGCAGGGGGAGGACGAGGCGGCATGGCTTCTACTACCTGCACCAGGTTCACCGATGAGTACCAGCTATTCGAAGAGCTCGGAAAGTAAGTACATTCCTTCACCTGATTATCTCTAGAGACAAACTTACATGAAAGATGCATCAGTCCTGCAAGTCTACAAGACATATTTCACATCTTTGCATGCCATGCCCTCCGTATTTATGAATATATCTATAAATAAGAAATGAGCTGCTTATCTAAGCAGCCATCATCTCACTTGATGGGCTATGTGTATTGCATACATGGGTGCTTCTAACAGTTTTGACAGCCCCACCACATATTTATTCCACCTTCGGTTCTACTGGTTATTGTACAGAAGATTACCTTTTGTTAGTCTCTAAGAACAGCTTTTATCAACCAGGGTTCATGGTGTCCCCCAATGTGAGATGCATTTTTCCCACTGACCCCTTTCGAAGTGGCATAGCAGGGGGTCCATGAGACCTGAGAAAAATGCCAAGGGTTCCTCTTGGGTAAAAAGGTGGAGAAAGACTGCTTGAAGGAGTCCCAGGCTTTTTTGTTTTGTTTTGAAAACACCATAACTAGCCCCCACTGTAAGATGCATTTTCCTACTGACCCTCAGTAAAGTGGCTTAGCAGGGGTTCCTTGAGAAAATGTAGGGGTTCCTCTGCAGTAAAAAGGCGGAGAAAGACTGCTTTAAGGAGTCCCATGCTTTTCCCAGTTTTGACAGCAGCACCACATATTCAATCCACCTTCTTCTGGTTATTGTACATAAGATGACCTTTTGGTAATCTCTAATAACAGCCTTTATCAACCAGGATTTCATGGTGTCCCCCAGTGTAAAACTGCATTTTTACCACTGACCCCCATTGAAGTGGTATAGCAGGGGTTCCCTGAGACCTGAGAAAAATGTCAAGGGTTCCTCTGGGGTAAGGTGGAGAAAGACTGCTTTAAAGAGTCCCAGGCTTTTTTTCTGTTTTTGACAGCACCATCACAAGCCCCCAATGTAAGATACATTTTCCTACTGACCCCCAGTGAATTGGCTTAGCACGGGTTCCCTGAGACCTAAATATAATTTCAGGGCTCCCAATGGAGTAAAAAGATTGAGAATGACTGCTATAAGGAGCCCCAGGCTTTTTTTTCTGTTTTGACACCACCACATATTAATTCAACCTCCAGTTTTTCTCTTAATTGTACACAATTAAGAGTTTTAGAGACTCTTTGTTAGTCTCTAAAACTGCCATTTTCAACCAAGCTTCCGTAGTGACCTATGGCTCCTCCAGAGGTTGCTAGGGGTTCCTTAAGCTGTGGCTGATTGACCTCCGTTTTTTGGCTCCAGGGACAACACCCCTTGGCAGAGCCAGTTGCATGAGATCAATGAGCTTTTCAGGAGTCTGTAAGGGGAGCATTCTTCCTACTAGACACCAGTGTGAGGTGCATTTTTCCCACTAACCCCCAGTGAGTTGGTTTAGCACTGGTTCCCTTAATCATTTTAAGGGTCCATCTGGGGTAAAAATGTTGAGAAACACTGCCTTAAGCAGTCCCAGACTTTTCCCTGTTTTGTCAGCCCCACCACATATTAATTCCACCTTCAGTTTTTCTGTTGGTTGTACAAAACAGGACATTTTTTAAATCTTTAAAACAGCCTTTCTCAACCTGGGTTTGGTGGTGACCATTGGATCTTCCAGAAGTTGCTTGAGCTATGGCTGATTGACCTCCCATCTAATGGTGCCTGCATAGTTCTGGGACCAATGCCACATGACAATGCCAGCTGCATAATACTAATTATCTTTTTAGCAGCTTGGAAGGGTGGCACTTTGACCACCACTGTAACGGAGGGATTTTTCCCACTATCCCCCAGTGAGCTGGTTCAGCAGGGGTTCACTGAGAGCTGAAATTTCAAGGATTCCTGTGTGGTAAAAAGGTTAATAAAGGCAGCTGTATAGTGTTCCAAGCTTGTCCCAGTTTTGACAACACCAACACCACCACATATTTATTCCACCTTCATACCTTCTGGTTATGGTACATAAGATGACATTATCAACCAGAGTTCCATGTTGTCCTTGTGTTCCTCCAGAGGTTGTTAGGGGTTCGTTAAACAGAGAGCAGTGGCACATTAACTTGCGTTGGTTGCACAGTTCCAGCAATAATGCCTAATGACCATCAATGAAAGTGGCATTCTTCCCACTGATGGCTGTTATAACAGAGAGGTAGTTCCAATAATGACCAATGTAACAGGATTTAAAGAAAGTCCTTCTCCCACTGACCACCAATCCAAGGGTGTCCTTCTCCACTGATTAACAATGCAAAGGGATATGTCTCCATTGACTACCATTGTAAGGGAAGCTCAAACATTTCTCTGTCTGCATTTCTTTTTTGACCATTATTCTTACTCGTTTCATTTCATGACTGTTACTAAAAATAATTTTGTGTTATAGAACAGGGGGTGTTAGAAAATGATCTGTTCTGGGTGTCAACTGGGTGTCAAAACTGCAATATTTGATCTTTTATTTAACTGTTTATCTACAATTTCCTGATAAGTAATAATACTAATGTACTATGAGCGGTAGATATCATTTTTTGCTGGGGGGCTGGGGTGATGGGTTTTACTGAGACTGACAATAATCTCGAAGGTTCTTTTGTGTCAAAAAAGTCAAGAAAAGCTGCTCAAAAATGATTTTGCAGCAACATTTTTTTCTATATACAATTTGTAATATCTTCCTTTAGAATGTTGTACGTATCACACCAAGGCTTATGTTTAGACTAAGTCCAGGAAATACGTCGTGATATGCCTAGTGTTATCAGCGCACACAAAGTGTGTATGTAATATGAATAGCTAACAGATGAATGCAAAGTCATTTTATGGGTTTAGGCTCAAAGCACAAAAGTGAGCGCTTCCTGTAAAGGGAATCCCTAGCCTGAAGGTCCTTTTGCAATGTGAGCAGCCGAGGCACAAATAAATGTCATGGCTTGGAGTTTTTTTTCTCACAATCTATTACAGCAGCTGGAATGTAAATGGCAAGTCACTTCTGGATCACACTGTAGGGAACGCAGACATTGGATTTTGAGCCGTACTCTTTATCTCCACGTCTGAAACAAATAATGTGCTTTCTGAGCTGCTGATTCAGGCTAAAGGAATGTGAGGCTAAGTGGAAATATTTTCTCCTACAGGCAGTGATATTCCTCTTACCTCTTAAATGTGGAGTATCTTCCAGCTATATACTCCCAGTAACTACCAGGAAGTTTCCAGCTGTGACAGTCTTTGGAGATGATGTTAATCATCCTGTAATCAGAAGCATCCTCTTACCCAGTTATCTGTAAGGGGCCTGCAGTAAATGTCTTGTCAGAACCCATCGAGTTTAGCATTTCTGGAATATTTCGGAATTTTCTGTCTTCCTAGTGAGAGAGCATCAAGATTGTGTTTGGTGATAATGCCAATTGTCTTGAAAATGTAGGGCCATGTCAGCATACTAAGACAGTAGTGAATTTAACTAGGGATGTTAAAGCCATTCCTGTTGGAACTTGTACAAGGGGGTAATCTACAATCCATGTTATGTTTATTGGGATGCTTATGCTTCTTGACAGCACTTCCATGTCCTGAGCACAAGGCTTACTGCAATGATTCCCCTCCACCACTCAGTATTTAGCCCACAATAATTTTGGCAATATGATTGTTGTTATACTGCACCCCTCCTGCAAGGATATATTGCCAAAGGCAGTGCTTACTTTCTTAAAAATAATTATCAAGTGTTCCGGTCAGTTATCAGCATAGCTCACACCCCATTTTAATCCTATTTTAGGCTTTTTTTAAATTTCCTCTACAACCCATTATTCTTCTCTGTGAAATTAGCATGTCAGTATATAAGTCTGCCTGTAGACGCCTGTAGATGGCACATAATAAAAGGTAATGGTACTTTAATAATGCACTATACACTGAGTGGCTAGAGTATTATGACCACCCCATCAGTACTTGGTTGGGCCACGAGATGACTCCACGAGATGACTTTGTTGGGCTGTCTCGTGACTCCACGAGATGTTGAAAGGTGATGCGAGGAATCTGACACTGCATTGTTGCCCTTCTGTTGTCTCGTACCAGTCTTGCCACTCTCCGTTCTGCCCTAACATTGACTAGTCGCTGACGGCCACAATTCGCACGTTCAGACCCAGATTTTCGGCTGACAGTCCAGTCTTCAAACACTTTAACAACAGCTGCTCTTGAACGTTTAACACATTCTGCTGTTTTGCTGATACTCGCATCATGGCTCAGAGTGCCAACAATCATCCCACGTTCAAAGGCTGTAAAATCGCATTGTTTACCCATATCTTCAGAAAAAAATCACTTCTACTGTTGTGGTAAACAACCTGCTTCCCTATTTATAATGGTCTGGCCCTCTAGCAACTTCAGCGCAAAATTATAGCTAATTTGCCTACAAACGTCAACTGGTCATAATAATCTGGTCACTCAGTGTAAGTGCTTTAGTTTGTGTTTGCCATCACATTGTCTTCCATTCTGGTGAAGACCTACGAGGGGCGGCTGAAAAGTTCTGAGCCTAAGGTATTCAAAATCAAAATTAAATTCTGAAAACAATTTATTTTTCTATATAGTCACCCTGTAATTCCATACACTTTTCACATTTTTTTCTGAAGGGCCCTAAGACCATTAGGAAAATAAGTTTGATCTTTACTAATAAAATGCTCCTCTACCGCAGCTTTCATCTCCTCATCGTCCGGAAATCTTCGCCCCCTCAACTCTTTCTTCCAATTACTGAATAAGAAATAGTCACTGGGGGCCAGGTCAGGACTTTAAGGTGGATGGTTGATTTCTGCAAAGCCAGTTTCTCTTAAGGCACGCCTCGAAATTTGCGCGGTCTGAACTGGCGCATTGTCTTGCAAAAGCAAGACGCCATGTGTTAAATTTTCGTCAGATGCGTCGGTGACTCGGACATGGGGATGTTCGCGGTTCAATTACTCAGAGCATACTGACGCTAATTTCTTGAAACTTTCCTTATATACCTACCAGGAGGTACTCAAATAGTGACATACTGGACAAGCAATTATCGCGATTGTAAGTACCTCAGGCTCAGAAC